AAAACTAAGACAAGTCCATTACTAAGAACCAGAACTGTAAATGTACATATTCTCAGAATATAAATCTTTGAAATGGGAAAAGCCGCTAAATCTTTTGAAGGAAATGAAATACGTAGTCTAATTTTCTTGATAAGCCTCCATTTTATAGGTATAAGATAGCATAGAAGTAACAATAAGCCATAAGAATAAGAGCATCTGTCAAAGGAATTTAAACTTTCCATGTTGAAAATTGAAACAAGTATTAAAGAAAGTCTTAAAAGATTTTTAACTCCTCCCTCATATTCTAAAGATTCCAGATTTCAGATGCTTCATGCTTACTTCAAATCATTGTGTGATTTTTAACCACTACTGATTTTAATTTACATATTTTATGAGATATACAACAAAAATGGAGAGGATAGAAAGCTAGAAAAACCCTACCAGATCAAGATTTTAAGAAAATTAATACAGAACTTCCCCTTCACTCTCCCAATTACAGAAAGCTTAGAAATTATTTAAAAACAAAAGACCTGGCAGGGTCTTAGTTGGTTAGAGCATCGTCCCAAGCACAAAAGGGTTGTGGGTTTGATCCCCAGTAGGGGTATGTATAGGAAGCAACCAATTGATGTTTCTCACATTGGTTTCTCTCTCTCTCAATCTCAATCTCTCTCTCTCCCTCTCTGTAAAAGCAATAGACATATCCCTGGGTAAGAATTTAAAAAAAAGAAAACTGAGTTTTAGGCTAGATAATTGTATTGTATCACTGTGAATCTCCTGATTTTCATCATTGTACTGTGATCATGTAGGAGAATTTCTTTGTGGTCAAGTAATTCTAAAGTATTTAAGGAGCAACATGTTTATAACACTCAAGTTTTCTGAACTGTTCAAAATAATAAATGTACATATTTACACAGAGAAAAGGATAAAGCAAATACAGTAAAATGTTATATTTGGGAATATTACTTTTCATCATCATTCCTATAACTTTTCCTTGAGTATAAAACGATACCAAAACAAAAAGTTAAAATAAAAAGGAAGTTTAACCCTTTTGGAGCCTGAGATCAAAATAAGTGCATCAAGTCTCTTCAGTTTCATGGTCTTGATTTTTAGAAGTATTAATAGATGAAGTACAGCTCTTATGTATACCTCACTTAGCAAGAAATTAATACTGAACTGTATTTATAATCCAAGGCAAAGTTGTCACTCTTTTTATTTATTTTCTTTAGTGATTTTACAGAGAGTAAGGGAGGAGAGAAAGATAGAAACATCGATGAGAGAGAACACTGATTGGCCTCCTCCTGCGTGACCCCCACAGGGGATCAGGCCCACAACTTGGGCATGTACCCTGACAGGGAATCGAACCGGCGACGACCTCTTGGTGCATGGGTTGATGCTTAACCATTGAGCCACACCGGCCGGGCAAAGTTGTCACTCTTTTTTTTTTTTTTTTTATCCTCACCCGAGGCTATTTTTCCATTTTTTGTACAGATAGAGTGGGAGGGAGAGAGAGGAAGGGAGAGAGAGAGAGAAACATCGACGTGAAGGGACACATCGAGTGGCTGCCAACCGCACGACCAACCAGGGCCGGGGACAAACTGCAACTGAGGTACGTGCCCTTAGCGGGAACCGAACCCGGGTCTCTCTGTACCGCAGGCCGATGCTCTAACCGCTGAGCCAAACCGGCCAAGGCAAAGTTGTCACTCTTAATGTCATTTTGTCTTGCCTCAAATGGGAAAAAAGAGGGGTGGAGTAGAATGAACAGTTAGAAGACAGAGAAATGTTAGCTTCTTAGCTCTTGCTTTTAGAAGACTTTCTATTTAGGAGTCAAATCACGGTTGAGTCTTTACAAAATTCAAAAGTTAATAAATATTCTTGCCACCTTTTTCTTTCCATTAAAAGAAAGGTTAGTTAGATTGGATTACATCTGTTGATTCTATATGGTAAAGTTAGCAAATAATTTTCTTCCCTCTAAGAATTTGGACAAAAAAAAATCTATAGAAACTTAGTGCTATGATCCAGTAGGTATGAATCATTCACATTTTAGAATAAAGGAAAGAGAAAAATCAAAAGGCTACATACCGTTTATGAATTATTCTATCTTGTACAAAGCTACATCTAGGAAAAATATCAGCATAAAAACCAAAAAATATGAATAATAAGAAAACAAAGAAAATTTATGCATTATCATTTCATGTGAAATTGTATATTCGTATTAATATGATGATACATAGATTAACACCACTTGAAGTTTATGATCCATCAATTTAAAAAAGATTTTTTTAAAAAAATTCTGTAAGTTTATCTCTATGGGATTCAAAGCCAACATTTTCTTACTAAATGCTATACTCAAGAGGAAAAAGCTTTTATTTATCTTTAAATTCACAAAGAAAGTGTAAGAAGAAATTTATTATTTCCTAATTCATTCTTGAGACATTTTGTTGGAACTTCATCTTTATATCTATGTACACAGGTAACCTTAAGACACTGTTGTTTACAAAAACATTAAATATGAAAAACATTTTAGAAGTTTAATGGAGGCCAGGCTAAACCAAGAAAATGCAATACTATGTAACCACTAAACTTATATTTTATTTAAGATGACTATAAAACTAAGGGGGAAAATGAGTTAAAAATAGTATGACATACTTGTTGAAAAAATGAAAAAGGTTTATTTATAAACACATTTAGAAAAGGTTGGAAGGATATATACCATACCAAATACTAACTTCTAAGTGGTAAAACTGCAGGTGATTTTTATTTTTTCTTCATGTTTCTATATACTCTATGCATTGTCTGAATAACAGCATGTGTTATCTTTATGGTTATAAAAAGCAAAGTTAGTTCAATTTTTGAAAAAACAGATAAAATCAAAATTAAAGGGGGTTGGCTGAATTAATATAGTACACATCTGGATAAGAAAATTGTATTGAGACATGAGAGCCTAAAGGAACAGATCTTAAGTCCCCCAGCTTCCGATATAATCACAGCAGTTCTCTTTTACCCCTTTCACATACTAGTTCTCCAATATTCTGTTTGACAGCAGGATAGCTTGTTAAAGTAAAGGAAAGGAAAAAGGAAAAAGGAAAGGAAAACTAAAAAGCTATATAGAGGAACATATATTGACATTTCTTTCTTTCTTTTCTTTTTTGCATTTATCTTCAGATGTGGGGGGGAGAAACATCGATGTGAAAGAGACACATGGACTGGTTGCCACCCACACGACCACAACCAGGGTTGGGGACAAATTGCAACAGAGGTACATGCCCTTAGCGGGAACCGAACCCGGAACTCTCTGGTCCGCGGGCCGATGCTCTAACCGCTGAGCCAAACTGGCCAGGGCTAAAATGATGTTTTCTATAAGCTGTTAGCTAAGGAGGCAGATAACAAATCTTTACATACTATGATCATATAAAGAAAATTAATTAAAAAAATTTTTTATGAGGATTTTAAATTTTAGTTTAGTTCGCCCGTTTCTAGTGTTTCTTAAGCAGTATGTTTTTTAAATACAAAACATTTTTTAGAAAACTTTAAAGCCTACAACTAAAAAAGGACTTAAGTTGATGTATATCTTATTTCTTAACCTCAAAAAGGCATACATCTAATTGTATTCTATAAAGAAAAAGGGGTATTTTAAATTAAAAGCAACATTATCTAACATTTTCTAAAGAAACTGTCAGCAGGTAAGTCATTTTCTGAATAATACATAAAATAAGCAATGTACTATTAAAATAAACTATTTGATTTCTTTAGAAAGACTTAAATCCTAAAATTTTAATGCCACAGTGTCTATATTAAAATAGTTAATCATGCAAAAGTACTTTTTATACTCAACATGCATGAAATATATAGGTAAATTATGTTAGAGCTGAACATAGCCCCTGTCCAACACTAAATGTTTTAAAATGCAATAAGCAGTTCACCATATATTCTGAAACTTCTTAAAAAATAGTTTTTTTACTCATATGCTATATCATAAATTAGCATAAAGTTATAAAAGAAAATTACCTAACAGATAAATCCCCCAAACTCCACTTATTAGCTTCCATAATAAACCATTGAGAAAATGCTTTACTGAAGGAGACTTACACCATTTTTCCATTACACCTACCATTTTATAAACTAATTTATCACCAGAGAAAGGAGAATGAAAGACTGTCTATATAGTTTTTGCCTTTATCATCCAGTTTTCTCCTTGATAGTTAAAATAGTTAGACTAGCAGGAATCAATGGCTAATTCAAAATACATTTTCCAAAAAATAAGTTTCAAGTTTTTCCATTTAATAGTCACAGGTCTGACTATACCTTTCATGTGTCTTTTTAAAGTTTGATTCATGAAATGAAATGAATTACTTCTTTGAGAGGTGCTATACCTAAATTTATACTTTTACAGTACATTAGCCAGGATAGACATATTGAGAAAAATACATCAAGGCAACAAGACACTCAGCTATTGACTAAACAAATCCTACCGCCACCACTACCCCCTCTCCTCTGGCCTTTTCTCCACCAGAGTAGCCAAGAAAATACTAACCAGGAGAGATTTTTTTTGCTGTTGTTTGTGGTTAGATTAAGGCCAGAAAGCAAAAATTATAGAAAGGGCTTTCCTAATCACTCTATTTCAGGATTCCCAATCTAAGAAATGTAGCCTGCTATGAGTTGGTTATAACTATAAACCCTATGTAACAAAAATAAAGAAATGTATACTTTATCCCTTTTGAACAAATTTCTATTATTTTCAATACAAAGGTCATTATTTCTTACAATTTGGTAAACTTTTTAAAGTTTACTAAAAAATACCCTTGAAATCTTTCCTTTATCCTTATTCAATATTTAAAATGATTTTTCACTTGGTCAATACATCCTAAATTATATTCAAAATAACTTCAATTATACAACAGACAAAGTTTCAAGTTAGTTGCCCCACTTATGAAATAAAAAATAAATACAAACAAAAAAATCAGAATTGAAGAATTTTTTCTCAAAGATTGGTATACAAAAATTATAATAGAATCTGCACTTACTCTTCACCCCTTTCTTCCCCTTTCGTTCCTTCTTGTACTGTTCCTTCAGTTTACTTATTAGTCCCTGGTCTACATCCCAAACCTCAGTAGCTGGGGAGAGGTCATCTTTATCTACATTCAGCATATTGTCAAAAGAAAAAAAATCAGCAATTGGCAGTGCAAGCTGTTGGCATAAACTCTTATAGCTTTACATAATCATAATAAAAATGTACTATCAGCATATACTCAAAATACTTTAAAGGTGCAGTCTCAGTTTTGGTATTCACAAGTCAAACTCTAAATGCCTATCTCATAAATTTCTAAACATTTAATACTAATAACAGTTAAATGGTGCTTCATTTCCATGAATCACAAATTTGAAGGTTATTCTTTCAATAACTGATATTCTTTCAATGGACTGACATTAGAAATCAAGTGTTATAAAAATAGATCACTGCATCTTTATAAAACCGTTCATAAAAATTATTCAGCCAGCATCATAAAAGCAAATGAATGAATACATGCGAACTACTCAAAAGTGCAAGCTGGAAAGGTCAGTGCCATTTTATTGATGAAAATATTCATGCATCTTCTGTCACACTGATTTTTCATGCACAGGATAATTGTACTACTGGAGAGGCATTCTAGTCCAATAAATACATATACATAGTTCCAAAACAGTGTCTCAAATAATCCCTACAAGGCATTCAGAAAATCACCGCCTCTGCTCCACGCCACCCACATGGTTAAATACATCCCATTACCTTCTTCCATTGGTCTACAACTAAGACTAGTAAATAAAACCCTCAAATTCCACCGAAGAATTTTTATGGAGGTGATTTTTTTTTCTTTAGGATAAAAGCAGCAACAAGCATGGAGAAGGAAAATATACATTTCTGTGTATATGGCTAAACATCACACATAAGCTATTTTAGCTGAATATAACAAATCCACATTTGTTTTAAGTAAATACTTTCATACCTGGAAAAAAATTACTATAAAGCAAACTAGAGGAAAACAGCATTAAGAAAAAGCTGTAAAGAAATAAGTCTAATAGAGCTATATTAAGTACTAAGAGTTTTCTGCCCTGGCAGGTATAGTTCAGTTGGCTGGAGTGTTGTCCCGTACACCAAAAGGTTGCTGGTGTGACTCCTCGCCAGGGGTGCATATGGGAGTCAACCAATGGATGTTTCTCTCCCCTCTCCCCACCTCCCTTCCTTCCCCATCTCTAAAATCAGTAAATATGTCTTTGGATGAGGATTTAAAAACAGAAGTATTTCTTTCTCTATTTACTTTTATTTATTTATTTATTTTTAAATCAGCCATTCTGCATTTTTATTTTATTTTTGATTGATTGATTTGAGAGAGAGAGAGAACTATCGATGAAAGAGAAAATCAACTGGCTGCCTCCTGCATGCCCTACACTGGGGGTTTGGCCCACAACCTGGGCATGTGCCCTGACCGGGAATCAAAACAGCAACCTCTTGGTATATGGGTTGATGCTCAAGCACTAAGCCGCACCGGCTGGGCTCTCTATTTACTTTTAAAACAGCCATGTTAATAGAAAGTTTAGCATCCTTTTACAGAATAACCAGGAGTTTGTGTAATTCTATTATTAAATAAAAATTACACCAAAATACAAAGGCTAAGTCAATTTTTAAGACTGACAGAACAGTGAGGTTTTAGAAAAAACACACCTGTTAAATTTTTAATTAACTCATTATATTCTGGTTCATAAGTCTTGTAAACTCCCTAGGCCTCAATGATTTAATCTATCCAGTGGACATATAAAAGCCTTTTTTCCTTATAGACTGCTATAGATAGCAAACTTAAGAAATTCTCATACATGTATGACACACAGAAATTAAATTATTTACTGTATCTTGAATCTTTCCTGCTATGACTGTTATCACTTTTTACCTTATGGGTATACCTATGATCTTAGGCAGTCAATACGTAAAAAAGCTAAATCCAAAGCTTTAAATTAATCTTCCAACTTGAATTACCTGAAACTAGGCTGTTCAAGACTGAAATTTATATGTAAGATTATCTGTCAAAATTTGCAAATCGTAATACTGTTTGTAATACAGTTGCGATACTGAGTTAAAGAGCAAATTCACTTTTCATGTACTCTAATAATGAAAACTAAGCAATATCAGGAATCAGTATCAACTTATTAAATACTTAAGAAAAAAAATGTGATCCAAAGACTTAATCATTTGTACTAATAAAGCTAACAATTCTTTTTTTAGAAATATGTTTGTTTAATTTTATTTTTTCAGTTACACTTTACATTTAATAACACTTTGTATTAGTTTCAAATGTACAGCATAGTTTAGATAATAATATACTTTACAAAGAGTTCCCCCTGGTATTTCCAGTACTCACATGGCACCATTCATAGTTACTACAGTCTCTATCTATGCTGCACTTTACATCCCTGTGACTATTTTGTAACTACCAATTTGTATTTCTTAATTCCTTCCCCATTTTTTCACCCAGTTCCCCACCATCCACCCCTCTGGAAATCATCAAGCTAAAAATTTTTATCTTTAAGTGACTACTTAAAACAAGATAATAAAACAAATTTTTAGCAAATACTTTTTAAATCTCATAGAAACAAACAAACAAAAACCAAGTAGTATAAACTTTATACAGGAAATAAGACAGGACATAAAAATTTCATAAGATAGCCAAACAATTTTTTTTAAAGACCTTTGTAGAAACAATAAAAGCTGTGAATGGTTCTAACAAGAGTAGCAAAGTGTAGCAGAGTGAAAAAGCAAAGGAATAAAAAAGTATAAGCTAAAAGACAAAAATATATATATATATATATTACTTGCAAGGCAACTCATGTCTACAAAACAAAGGTAAACTTAGGCAGTGCAAAGAACAGATTGGTGAATGCATTATGTGCACAAACAACATCCTGAAACTTGCCTGGTAAGTAATAGCTGATTTCATATTGCTTATAAAAAAATAGTTAAGAGCAAAAGGGAAGAGCCAGCATAGTCTTCTACATATTAATTCAGTTTATAAAAAATCTACAGGGGAAAAAATACCAAAACATGAGGTTGAAGTAGTTAATGGCAACTATTTTGTTTAAAACACACACACACAAATATGCATAAATTGACCTTTGACAACTCAAAACCACAAAAACATAAAATTCGATTATGATAATTCTAACTACCAAAGCAGAGGAATTATATAAATCTTCTTAATGTAGCATAAATTTGTAACTAATGCTACTTTATGCAAATATCCAGTACTTTATCCATTATATTTAAATATAAACATTAGCAATATGGTAGAACCAAGATGGCAGCAAAGTAGGTGCCTCCCAGGACCAAACAGGAATTACAACTAAAATATAGAGCAATCAACTTGAATAACCAATGAAGACTAGCTGAAGAGAACTCTTATAGCCAAGTACTTACAGAAGAACCCACATCAAGACTGGTAGAAAGGGCAGAGGCAAAAAGGGCTGGCCCTGCTCCCACAGGCAGTGGCTGAGATTCCGGAGCAATATCTCAGTCACAAAGGTTCCCCATAATGAAAGTGGGCTCTCAACCCAAAGCCAAGCTCCCCAGCCCAGAGCACCAGACCCCGAAAGAGGTGCTCACATACCATGTAGCTGTGAAAATCATCAGGGATTCTGTCTGCCAGGGAGAGGCAGGAGCCTTCTAGAGACACAGGCACCCTCTTAAGGGGCCAACACACATTTCATTTGTAGCCACTTACCTTGGGCTATGGTGGAAGGAGGAAAAAGCAAACTAGAGTTGTGTGAGGAAAAACTGGGGTTTATGGCTCTAGGGAGAGAAAAAAAGGGACGGCCACCAGGATCTCTGTGCTAAGTCATTCTCCCACACTACAGACACGAGCCTGTAGGTACGCTCTCCTACTTATGACACCAGCCTGGGGGAATTCAATAGCCCTACCCTCTAGACTCCCTGTCGTCCCACCCAGCAAAGTTTGCACCCTGCTGCAGAGGTCTGGGCAGACTCAGGGGGTATCAGTGAGTGAGTTGTATGACTTTGGGGTACGGGCCATTCCTCCCACTTTCCTGCAAACCTGACTGTTCCTCCCCCGCACTGGAGATCCGCTAGCCCCACTTTCTGGGCTCCTGGCAATCCCACACGCTGGACTCCTGGTGGCTCTGCCCTGCCAAGGTGTGGGGCAGAATCCAAGACGGACTGAGTTGTATGGCTCATGTAAGGGCTACTTTCCCTAACTCCCCCTAGAGTTGACCGGCACCCACCTCCCAGGAGATCCACCTGCCCCATCCTCCTTGCTCCTGGCAGCCCTGCCTGCTGAGATCAGGCACCTGACAGAATCTGGGACAGACTGAGTTGTGTGTCTAGGACAGAAGCCATTTTCCCCTTACATGCCAGACTGGTGCAGACCTTTCCCTTTACACGGCCAAATCTTGGTCTGTGTGGGCATGATAAACTCTGCTAGCCTCACCCTGAGGATTCTCTTAGATAATACCTCACCACTAAGGTGTGCGAGCACCCAGTGGGAGGAAATGAGACTTGGTATTCCCTAGAACATTTGCTGAGTGACCTTAAAGCCAGCACTGGCACTGAGTTAGAACCTTTATCAATCTGGTGAACACCACTCACCCCTACATGGTGATTTACTGAGAACCTACCTCATGCAACTGGAGTACCATCAGGGGCCCTTTCAGTGACCGAGACTAAAAGGCACCCAGTAGGAGGAGGCAGATGGAGGCAGATCATGGGTGCCTTCGAACTTTAACTGACCTACCCCTGGTGCTAGTAAAAGCAATTTTGGTGTGATTTGGTTCTTCTCGCACACACCTATACCCAGTAGAGGCAGCCACAAAATGTGGTTCACTTTGTAACTCCAGTACCAGTCACAGGCAGTGTCTGACACTGGCTTGAACCATAGACCCCAAAACTAACACACCCAGTGGCCAGCTTCAGACAACATTACAGCAGAATCCACTTAGCTTCACAAATGAAAATCCAAAAAGAAATCTCAGTAGCACAAGACCCTATGGAGGTGAATTTCAATTTGTGTGGTCAGCACCTGCACAGCAGAACACTGTGCTCAGTGTTGATACTCACAGTTAAGGAGGCTTGAGGGTGGTTGACTCCATGCACAAA